GTTTTTGGCGCCAGTTCTGAGGACATCTGCCTTAATGTTTTATAATGAATTAGAAAACGTGATTGTGATAGTGAGAAGAAACTATCTCTTTGTTGGAAAAAAAATAGAAAAGGTTGAGTATGAGGGAAAAGCCACACTATTATTCATACAGTTTACTAACAAAGAATAAAATAAAATCCTGATTTGGTGAAATCTGAAAATCAGAGGAGGGACTCCTCAAAACAGTTTCAACTCATTTCCAAAGAGTTTTGTTTTAAGAAAGGCATTGATTTTATACTTTAAGCCTTGTTTAAAATCAAAGGTTTTGAGGGGTTTTTTCTGTGACTCTGTCCCTTCATGCTGTATGTCAAATAAGTGATGTTATTTCTGCTACAGTTGCAAAAAATACTAACAAAGTTAGTCATAACTTGCTGTCATAGCAACTCAAGACAAAGTAGTTGGCCTTTGACTTTTACTTTCTTACAAAGTTCAAGCAGTTGAATCTTTCTTCCTGTTAGTATCAAGGAAAAATATTTTGATACGGACTAAACTCCTGCTAGAAATGGGTTTTTTCATCTTTTTAGCACAGACTTAAAATATATGTGATGGAAATTTGAAAGAGCAATTCAAATCTGTATTTTAATGTCCTTTCATCTGACATTGCCAGTTTCAATTGAGTTTTAACTCAGAGAGTTGTCATTTTTCAGCTCTCAGAATCAAATGATTGCTATTACAATATAAATGTTGAGTAGTTTTAATTGTCTTGTATTTGCTTGTTTAGTGTCCTGAAATTTGTTAACAGCTCTTCCAGTGGGTTTCATTGGAATCATTGGATTTTTTGTAAATAGACCTTGTAAAATGTTATCATAATAAATTGATTAAATTGACATGTGTTGTTAAATTTTTTTGAATTACTGAATTGTGTGCATCTGCTTGCTTAGCTGTCTTGCACACTTTCTAGTTAGGTATTTTGCTTATGTCTGTATTTTTTTAAAAACATATCTCAAATAAAATAGTATACCTCTATTCTGCTGAGAGCAAAAGTAATTTTGTCATGGTATGCACAGTATATTAACTGAATTTCTTGACGTATAACGTAGAAAAATATAAATTTCAATGTGCAATTGAAAAATATTCCTTTTAATATGGACACCTTTTTATTTTATAAACCATATTCCAGCAGTGGTGGAGTATTAGGCATACATGACATTACATGACACGTTGCAATGATTTTATAGCACTGAGAAACCATCGTGTTATGAGACATCTAAGATCTATCATTATATTTTAATCAAAGGCTATAAAATAAGGGAGCAAGTTTTTGGCAGTTTTAATAGAGATCTTGGAAACGGTCGTAATGTAACTAGCTGAGCATTACTATATTTTGTTTATAGATGGCCTCTGCTGTCGTTTGTGTTCCAGCTATTTAACCGCAGTGACTCATAGGGACCCTCGACCTACTCTTAACAGCTAGAGTTTGTCTTCTGTAGAATATGCCTGCAACAGGAGTTGAAAACATAATTTGTAAAGCTGTTAAGATGTACCCCAGCATGAGACCATGCTTACTTATTTCAGGTTAAATGCTTTTAGAAAAACAAACTATGTATTGAAAATCTAAATGAGGAGAATTTTTTCTTGAAAGAAGTTGATGACTGAAGTTAGAACTGATTCTTTCCTAAGAACAGGAATTCAGGCTTCTGAATGCTTTTGTTATTTTCTGCTAAGGGCTGCTAACTGTTTTCTCAATTTTTTAAGAGGATAGACAAAAGAGGACACTTCAGTTTTACTAAGAACTATCTTCTGAGTGGAATTAGTGTTAGTTCCATACATTTTTACTCGTGAGAAACCAGCAATACAGTGTGGTTTTTTTCGAGCAAATCACCTTTGCTTCATTTTGTTATCTTGCTACTCAATGGATTGTTGCCCTTCTGGAGACTCAGTGAACCTCAGAAACGCCAAGGAAAGCCCTACTACTGGCTCACAAACTGGTGTTAGTATGAACTTCTAACCTTAACTGTTCTTTGCACCCATTTCGGACCACTTCCAGTTACCACATTTTAGAGTAACTTTTATACTGTAACCATACTGTGAGTGTAAAGCTGCTATGAGAGCAGAAGACCCCTGATGCTCGCTGGCTGGTGTATTCTTTGCCCTTTGCCTAATGACAAGAGGATGCAAGAAATGGGCCACCATTCCCTGCTTTTCCCTTTAAAAGGACACACAAATAACAGCCTGTCTCTTGAAAAGCTCCTACAGACTGAATCATGACTGTGGTTTCTGTGGGATATTGCAATGATGCTAATACACATGAGTCTTTCTTGCATTTTTGCTGGTCGATGTCTGCTTTGGGGAATGGTGGTCTTTGACAGGAAGCTGCTGCTGTAATTTCTTAGTTTAAAAATTTTGATTCCAAATATATATATATGTGTGTATGTGTGTGTGTATATGTATGTATATACACACACACACACAAACAATATTTAACAACACTATCCTGATGTTTTTTCAGCATCTGGCTGCTACCTCAGTATGCTGTTAAGTAGCGTAAAGTATTCAGAAAGTCCGTCTTCTATAACTAAAATAATAGGTGACAAGTGGGGAAGGTAGTAAAAAAAGAAAGAAATATCAGGTATTAAAATGCAATTTTGGTCATTGCATTGTTGAAAACGATGAAGTAGACCTAGGAAAACTGCATAAATGAGTGACAAGGTTGATCAGAAAATAACAAGTGTGTGAGGAAAGAATAAATACATTTGGGTGTATAATAGAGATGGGTAGAAGGCAAACAGAGAATGACTATTCACCATTTCTCCCATTCTAAGAATTATGAGCAGCCAAGATCCATAATAACAAATGAAAGGACTATCACATGAAACACAGTTAAGCTGTGGAACGTATTCCCTTCTCAGAGGCTCAGAGAGTTATTAGAAAAACTGATAGATACCTGTGGAAATCACTTCTCATGAAATAGTAGTCCAATATCAAATTTTGCCTCAGGTACTCCCTGAACCCTGGTTACTGAAATATAGGAGGATATACCAGAGAAGAGGTTGTTCAGTACATGCTCTATTTTAATAATTTTTCCCCAAGCATGGCTTCTGGTCACTCTGTGAAAGAGGACAGTGGGACATTTTGATTCAGCCTAGAAGTAAATCAACTTTTTCAGATGAAATATGAGCTAAAAATATATGAAGCTGATGATTTAGACAACTCTTTAAAAAGTTTATGTCAATTTTTTTCATAATTGAGAAATATTTTTCTCCTGTTTAGCGTTTATAGGAGAATTGCATCTGCTATTCTAGATAACTCATAGCTCTATCAGATAGTTTTTTCTTGGAGTTCATTTCAGACTTTGATTTTCTATAAGTCAGATAGTATTTATAGAAGGAAAAGTTAATGCACTGGTTATCTTTAGATGGCAATGCATTAAGCATTGACTGTCCTGTTACGGAATCCCAACCAATCCGCTATTGCATAGTTAAAATATCTGTACTATTCAACTCAAAGTATTTTGTAAACTCATTACTAAAGTATTGCTGGGAAATAGAGACAGTGTATTTACGGATGCTGCTCTCCTAATAGCAAAGGTGCTTTAAAATGAAGGTGATTTACGACACAGATACTTTTAGTGTTTATTCATTTATTACGTGCTTAGTATAAATAGCTCTGTTGCTACCTTGCAGTCGATTTTTGAGAACACATTATTACTGAAGAGTTTGTTTTTGAAATATAGCATAATATTAATTGGACGGGATCCCCAGAGGTCATCTGATCCGATCCCCTGCTCAATCAGGGCCACCTCAGATCAGTTTGCTCAGGGCTGTGTCCACTTGAGTTTTGAATTTCCCTGTGGACAGAGATTCCACAGCCTCTCTGGGCAGCCCCTTCCAGTGCCTGACCACCCTCATGGGGAAAGAAAAATTTCCTTTAATCAGAATGTCCCGTGTTGCAATTTGCAGTCCCTTTTGCAATTTGTCTTGTCACTGTGTACCTCTAAGAAAGAGTCCTGTGCCCTCCCATTAGGCAGCTGTGGACAGCAGTAAGGCCACCCTGAGCTTCTCCTCTCCAGGCTGGACAAACCCAGCTCAGCCTCTCCTCATCTGTCATACTCCAGCTCTCTGATCATCCTGGTGGCTTTCGCTGGGCTCGTTCAAATATGTTGTTGTCTGTCTTGTTCTGGGGAGCCCAGATGTGGGAACAGTTCTCCAGCTGTGGTTTCTCAAGCCCTGAATAAAGGGGACCAATCACTTGCCTTGCCCTGCTGGCTATGATCTTGCCCAGTGTGCAGTTTTCAACAGTTAGGAGTTAAAAGGAACAACTTCTACCTTATGAGTGAATTTGATTCACAGTAGTACTTAAAAAAAGGTCTGATGTACTCAGGTTCTGTGTAAACTTTCAAACTACATTTATTTCTCATAAGGCAGGAGTAGGTTTAAATATTAGGAAACAAAGATAGAAGTTTATTGTACTAAGCTGTTTTAAAAATATTTTTATAAAATATCATCTGTCCCAGTGGACAGAGTGCTATTGCTGGTAATAATAGTTGCGTATTTCCTAGTAATGGGATGGAAATTTCTTATCTGATAAATCCTTTCTGTATATGGGTTCAGAGTATAATCACTTACATGTTATAATTGCTACTGACTACATGGACAATTCAGTTAAGTTTTCTGGTTATCTGCTGAAGTGTATGACTCAGATTAGTTTCAGCTTAGGTGCTTACTGACTGTAGCAGATCTGAGAATGAAGAAATGAGGACAGAGTAAGGAAAGTGAAGAAAGTAGTCTGCAGTGTGATTAGTGGCATCTTACCTAACTACCCTACTTGGAAAGCTGAGTCTTACCAGGTCGGCAGTCATGATAACAATCCAGGTAAATGAATTATCGAGTGGCAAGTTACCTTTTCATTGGCTCTCATGTATCTTTAAAGAAAAAAAAATACTGTTCTTTCTCTCTGGAAAATTTTTACCTAATGATCCAAATATTCAGTGGGGTTTTGTTTTGTTTTGTTTTGTTCTCCAGAGTACCCATCTCATCCTTTTCCCAAGACAACATTTATGAAGTCCAGCCTCCAAGAGTTGATAGGAAATCAATTGAGATTTTTCATGCTCACATTCAGGCTGGAAGAGGAAACATGCAACCACTGGGAAAAGATGACTTCCTTATGTACAGAGAGTACATTCGAAACAGATACATGTAAATTCAAGCTGGATTCTGCTGCCAAGTGTAATGTACTGATAGGTCATAAAAATAACTTTAGAAAGGAAATCGAATTTTGTTATTTTCAGATAATAAATTTATTATCTAACATTTCTCTTTATTATGCTTTATACATTATATATTTACATTATTGTACTTTTTCTTAAGCAGAAGTGAACAAGAAGTGTGTGGCTGATGGCAAAATCGAAATTTACATCTAGATTAACAAACTTTATATCTGGATTAACAAATTTAACAACCCAAATTTGTGTCAAAGCCAATCTTACTGATGGTAGTAACACAGCTTCTGCGCTACATAGGTTGAAAGCGGCTTGTGATTAATTTCCACGGGCTCCTAGTAGGGCTCTGAAGTGAACCACTTCCCAGCTGTGCCAGCAGGTGAGGGAATGCTCTCTGCTTTACTGGACTTGGAGTCTTAGGTGGAGGGTGCAAGAGCGTCTTGTCATTTTGCTGTATGACAGGCACTGTTCTTTTTGCAGCATACTCTTTCCGTCCCCGTATTTATGGTCTTATGAGCTCCTTCAGGTTCCAGCCTTACAGCCTACCAAGAAATGAATGTCCGTAAGGTAGGTACAGAGACTGGATCAGCTAGGGTGGCAGTGCAAACGAAAGCAGTACTTGGAGATAGGTGAGACGGAAAACCATGTCCTGTGCTGGGTGAGAAGCGGAGAGGCAGCAGAGGGTTTGTGTTACAAGCAGTTACAAGCTAAAATTGCCAACCTTGAACTTTAGGACTTTAGCCCTTTGAATAGTGATGATGTCATCAGCATCCTTGACAATTTATGTTATTCCCCAAGTTTGAAGACTGTATTTCAAGATCTTCTGGAATAACTGAATAACTCCTTTAGGGATGTTTCAGCCAACTGCATGTAATGGACATGGAGAGCATGTCCAGGTTCAGAGAAAATCGACCTGCAGGCAGCAGGTCCATATACTTAGCTGCGTACTGCAAACATACTCTGATCTTACGCAGTAAGTGGCACTTCTGTTAATCAGTAATTCAGTAAAAGAAAACACGCAGTGGATAAAGAGAGAAGACATAAGGTGCTTGTGCAACAAGTGTGTTACAGGAAGTGACTTGTATGCAGTCAGTAAGAGAACATTGTACCTCAAGCTAATAAAAAATTTTCCTGTCCGTTCTCTTTCGTTAATTGATTAATACTGTTTTGAGAGAAATGAGTGTAGTTTAGAAGACACAGGAATGAAGTGTTATTTTACATAATACTTATTTGCAACTATCGACATTGTTCTCTGGAAAAAACTTGGGCTGAACTCTTTCGACCAATGTAAACAATGTTTTGAATAAAGAATAAATGTTTGTCTTGGAAAGATTTGAAGCTGAAGTCTTTATTCCAATGAAGAGAAGGCATGCTTTCCTTATTGCACTTAAATTATTTCAGAGAATGTTTTGCAGATTAGACGCTGGTATCTCATAAAAATTATCCTTCAAAGTGTACCACTTAACCACAAATTAGGCAAAGGATGATAATCCATTCCTTTTCCAGCAGGTAATGCTGTTACAAAATACAGGAATTGCAATACTCGTGCACTTCTCACACAAACTGTGATCAGGCTTTAGCTATTCAGCTATTAAACAAAAACTGTTAAGCAAAAGAGAAATAAAGTTTATCATAGTTACTTCATATGATAAGATGCTTGGGTACTAATTTTCAGGTGATAGCTTGTGTGATCTGCCCTCACTGTGCTGCAGCTGTTCAGGGTGCTTCAGGGTACTCAGGTCAACTATTTAGTAGGCTTGCTTAAAAATAAAAAATCTCCCAACTTAACATCTGTATGACAGACAAATTTTCAGCAGTCTGAATAGATCTTCTGCCTAATGTATGTAAAGGGTGGATTTATCAGAAAACCTATTCAACACCCACATACCAAGTTCAGTTACAGGAAGGACTGCAGAGTGCTGACTCTTGATTTACCTACCTTAGTCTATGCTTGTGCAAAGCATAGAATATGTGACTGAACCTTAGTTCAGTCCTCGACTGTGTTAGAAGTTCTGAACGGATACATGTATTTCCTTTTCAGAATCTGAGAACAAGTGCGCAGCGTAAGTATAAACATAAAGAGGTTGTATTGGCTCTGAAGACTGACATAGTGCTCTTTTTGCTCTAAATGCTGGCGATCTGTTTTGGTATTTTAACTGTATGAACAAATAAAATTTCTTCCTGACAAAAATGTTTCTTCTTCCAAGCCTATTTATTTATTTTCAGTGTGTTTGAAGACTATATTGAAATAAAATACCAAAACATACACCTGGAAGTGATGATTTTGGGTGCTTTTCTGGGTGGATTCATGCTTTATTTGCTGCATTTAAAAAAAAAGAAAAAACCACCAACAAATCCTCTGAATTTTCTTAAAAGCTTTCAAGATGAACATGATCTGGTGCAAGTTTAGTGGTATTTCGGGGGTGGCATTTCACATTTGTTTAGAATTAATTGGCTTTCTATGAGAAAGCAAAATCTGTCTTACTCTATTTACCTTAAGTGCTTAAGGAACATAACAGAATTTCGTTCTAAATTCTCATTTGCAAAGAGCTTTGTGAAATGTAGAGCTTTTACTATGCTGCTATCACGTTATTACTGTATTCAGATCTCATGTTAGATGCAACTACTAATTATTTGCTTTATTAAAATCCAAATGTAAATCACAAGCTAACTTTTGCAGATTGACTATTAATCCAAATAGAAATCCGTTTTTGACTTTGATTTTTAGAATTTCTGTGAGTTCCCTGGATAGAATGAAAAAGGCTGATGTTTTTTCTTATGCTTGTAGGGCTCCTCAAGAGATTTCGAAGGATCCTGAGAGAACCTATAAATGCTAGTGATCTGTAGTTTAATTGTATTCTTGTAAAGAACCAGAAAATAACTTGAATTACTTATCCTGAGGGGATTATTAGAAATTTTCTTTCTTTTGCAGTTTGAGACACTATGAAAACACAGCCTAAAGGGAAGACTGTTAATACTAAAGATCAGAGTCAATCTTGAACCTGTGCTTTCTAGAGATGATGAACTTAATGTAAAGTGAAAACTAACACCTGTTATCAGAATGTTGAATATGCTGTGGAATAATACAAAGATTTTAAGACAAAGTGTTTTGTGTTATATCTAAGTTTCTTAGAAGTGACACTGGTAATACATGATCATCATGTTAACAGCTTGATTCAGTAATGCAGACTGGTATTTAGGTGGAAGAGGGAGTCTAAAATGACAGTGCACTTATATGCAAAAATATGACTTGTTTCATATCAGGATAAACTTGACCCAGAGCTTGTAAATGATTGCTACAGTGATACATACTTTATATGAGAAAATGTATAATAATGTTAATACTGCCCCTGTCATGCATTCATATCTTGAGCTGTATATCCAAAATCCAAAACTAGGTATTTAAATGGTACTTCTTTTTTTAACTTGTTTACTTGAGGTTTGTGCCCTGAAGGTTGTTGAGAACTTTATTGATATTCTTAGTCTGTCTTCATTTAATTTATGTAACTAGAAGTCCCCCATCTGATTCCTGTAATACATGCAACACTAGGACAGTTTCACTTACTGGCCTGTAGGTCACAGGTACTGCAGGTTACTCGCATGTTACTCATTTCAGATCATCTGCTATAAAATGTTGCTAGCTGCAGAAGAGATGCTTAGAAGAAGTTGGGAAGAAATGGTGAAATTAAAAATGATTCATAAGACAGGCTTTCGAATAGTAAATTTTCGAAGAAAACGGTATTTTGTTATTTTTTCACCATGGTCCATATTCATGATGCTTTCCTATTTATTTTGTGGACAGGTGCAATACAGCATAAAGATGCAGAGAACACAAGAATATTTGTGTTGTGGTTTAAAAAAAAAAAAAAGTGTATGAAGCTTTTGTAGAACAGCAAACTGCTGGCAGTTGGACTTTAGAAGCTGGTTGCACTAAAGGACTACATCTTTCAGTTGCATTTACTAATAAAATTGCATCCTTTGTTAGCTTATATCAGTATAATTGCAGTATACCTAAGGTGGAGGACATGTTCATCTCTGAAAGGGAAATTGTCTTTTTCAGTTTAAGCAAGAGAGATGCACTGGTAAACTTTGCATGCCTGTAGCAATAGAATTTAGACAAGATGCTAAAATATATATCTGTCATCCTGTCAAACAAGTGGTGTCTTTATCATTCCATCTTGTTGCATTATTGTTGTATCTTGCTGTCCGGTGGGGTTTTGGGATTCTTTGGTGATTGTGTTTAGTTTCTAAAATTACAGACTGCATTTATGCCAAGGAGCCTGGATTCTCCATCTAAGAAATCTAATCAGTTAATGAATTAATGGATCGTTGTTTGCTGCTTCTAAATTTTCCTTTGAGTAAACTAAAAATAGTTAAATATCTGCTTTTATATTTTCCTTTAAAAAGGAAATTTTGAAAATTGAAAATATATTATTTTTACTGATGTTCTAATAGTTGCCAACACAAGGTTGGGATAATCGATAATTAGATGAGTGTTCTCAAAAAAAATATAGATAGTGCTGGAAGTAATGATTCAGTAAATAAGTCTTAACTTTTCATTTTCCGTTTTCTGACCCTTTGCCTCATTTTCGCACAGAGGGGCAGTAGGTGAGTGTTGGTGAGAGAAAATTAAGATCTTTTACAAGCATTAACACAATATGCTAAGACTCATCAGCAAAATGATACGAGTGTAAGATCATCATAAAGTGGCCAAATGTTTGAGATTCTGCTGTATAGGCACCTTTATGAATATGAGGTTCTGCTGAGCGTGGCATAGAAACATACTCCTCTATTCGACTTAGTCTTTTGCCTGTTGATCTCAGCAAGGTATGTATTTGAGATTACAGCGCTTTTAGATACTAACTCAGTAAACTAAAACTCCTTAGCACTTGTGAGTACAGTCTTGACAACTCAGTTGGCCAAGCTAGAGTTTAAAATGAGCGTTTATGCAACTGTTCTTAACCAGGATGATTTTTAAATGCCTTCCACTTGTGCACTGAGTATTCTGGCTAGCAGTTTTTCATGTGATTTGTTCTCTCATATTCTCTTTCCAGAGAGGCTCAAAAGTCTTGTGCTGTGACTCTGAGACAGGATCTTTTCAATGTGCATACAGCTATGGGTACCGGAGGGGAGAAGATGAAAGAACTGTACCTAGTTCTGGGATAACATGGACGGTAGCTCTTTGTCTTGCCATTGAGTTCTTCGGATTTTGGGGTGGGACCCTAAGAAGGTTCTGCTGGCTTTCACAAACTCAGGCCAGCGACAGCACTAGTATGAACTCTAAAGCTTGTGACCTGTAAAACACATTGGTGTGACAATAAGATGAAATACCAGCTTCACTCAGAAGACCATTTCGTTCTCCCTATGAGTTTCACCCTACCAGTACTCCATAAATAAGTACACATACAAGTTACAGTTCGTTGAAGATAAAACAGAGCATACACTGTACTTTAATAGTTGCATGAGCGCTACAGTGGGTATAAAGTATTGTTCCATTTGCTGGCATAGCTGTTCTGAATCTCAGTGATCACTGGGAGACTGGTATGGAAAAGATATGATATATGTTTGGCTCCCAAATGCCTAAGTCTGTGTTCTGTATATTTTTAAAAAAGCTAATTAAAGTTGTCATTTTTGGTGGTGGTTTAAAAGTGGTAGGGAACTAGTACAATATGTTACAAATTATTCATGAAAAAAAACCATTAAAATTCCAATTCTTGCAAATACTGATATTCA